TTCATCTTCTTCCTCAGGGAGTTCACAGGCAGACAGATAAAGGTCAGAGGAAGACTCTGAAAGGGAAGGACAGGGGACCTGATTACGCCCCCCCACGGTCTGACTCTAAGAGAACAGACATTATCCCCATTATTTCCAACATAACAGTGTTAAATTCCTTCCTGGATAGGGTACAGGAGGGTAACCTGGAGGGAACTAAGGAGAATATTGAGGCAGGGAGTGTAGGGGAGAAGGGGCATACCATAGGGCTAGCAGAAACAGCGTCCGTAAAAGAGACAGAACCCTCCCCAGAACCGCAACCAAGTTGTGTGGCCCCAGAACCGTTGTTAGGTTGGGAAGACCCAGAACCTGATGCCCATTCCTCCTCATGTCTATAATCCACCATTGCCTGTGGGGAAAAGACCCAGTTCTCCCAGTAGAGGCAGTAACCTACTGCAGTGGTGGCAGAGATCTGGACTCCCTTGGTAGTGCAGAATTGCAGCAGGAGTGGCAGGTGCAGCCTGTGTAGCCAGTACATTGCGCACCAGAAGGGGATCTGGCGGGGGCATGCACAGTAGAAATCTCCATAGGGAAGCTGCACCGGAGCTGTGCAGCTTATCAGGCCGCCCATGGACCCCAGTGAAATTGTGCCAAACTCAAATATAGGGTAAATAGTGAATCCTATCTGCTGCTGGAACCCCAAATTTGTGACCCTTAGGGGGAAGGGACAAATTGGGTAGGAGGGTATGGACAAGTTCTCACGTACCGTACCACCATCAGAGTGGCAGCTGACAAGGTAGCACTAGCCACATAAAGAAGACATGCCCCATTCAGTCTTCGCCCACAGGGACAGGGCTCCATCGCAATGGACCACGGCCCTGGACCTGTAACGCACTCTGCTGCAACTTCACGCTGCACAAAGTGCCAAGAAGTGGGCTCCACACAGGATACTATGCCCTACGCACATTACAGGGCAGCCCTGCATCTTTCTTTTGGCGGGGTCCGGCCCACCAAGGTTCTGCTGAGAAGAAAATTGATTGGTAGCTCCTGTTTGGTGCTGCAGTAGATGTAAGCAGCGTTAGGGAAAACATGCTAGAAGAATCTTCAGTAGAAATAGCAAGAAAGGATATACTTCTCTCAGAGCAGAGAAACAGGGTCAATCACCTAAGGACACTAGCATAAAACTGGGGCAAACTGGGAGTGGCAGGGGTCATACAGGGCTGTCTTGCAGCTTTGATTTATTTGCCAGCGTCCAATCACCTGAAGGTAGCTGCATAAGCCAAGAAAAAGGAGGGCAGAGCCGCTGTCATCCTGTCAGTTTCAGGATGACAGCGGCTGGGTGCGTGGCAGAGTGGAGGATAGGTAAATATCTGTGCAGCACAAACATTGGAGTGATCGTCTGATCACTCCAGTGTTTGTAAATAACTGGGGACACATATTACTATGTGTCCCCAGTTATGAATGAACAGGATGTGATTTACTTTACTTGATGCGATTTATTTCTGAATGGGTAGTAGCACTCACTACAGTGGCTCCTCCCCATTCATTCAAAATAATATTTTGAATGAATGGAAAGCCTCTGTACTGAGTGCTTTCCATTCATTTAGAACAGATGTTGCAGAAAAAGATTGTGTCCTCAATTTCTTTTTCTATGTAAAAGGTAAATGTCAGGAGTCTGTTTAGACCCCTGATGTTTCCCCTGAAGCCCCCCAAACAGTATAAAATGAAATTGGAAAAAAAAAATTTACAAAATGATTTTAAAAAAGTGAAAACTACACCTCACACACATATTATTAGACATGTGCAAAGACTAAAAATTAATTTTAGATCAGCGGTCACCAACCTTTCGGACCTCATGGACCACTACATTAATAATTTTAAATCCCGCGAACCAAATAAATATAAAAATGTATATATATTCACACACACACATATGAGAATATATTTATATATGAGGGAATAAAATATGAGAACATAGCTATATACAGGTGAAACTCGAATAATTAGAATATCGTGCAAAAGTAATTGCAGTAAGTGCTGCAAAAGGGGCCCAAACCAAGTACTGAGTACATATGCATGCTTGTACTTTTCAGAGGTTCGATATTGTTCTATGTACAATCCTTGTTTTATTGATTGCATGTAATAATCTACTTTTTTGAGGTTGTGGATTTAACTGAGCCAATATTACTTGGCTTCTCCCCACTTTTCCCACTTGTCCCGCAGCCTGCTCAGTCCTGGTACTGACGAGATGCCCCACCTCCTGCTGAGCCCGCACTGTACTGAGAGCCGCGCATTCCTTGTGACATCCGCTGCTTGAGTCAGTGAAAGGCAGCCCCGGAGCCTCCGTGCCGCTTCAATGACGGCCCAACCTGCACAGCCGCAGTGGGCCCCACCAAAATTTTCTCGCGCACCACCGGTTGGCGACCACTGTTTTAGATGAAATTAACGAAAACTAAAAACGTTTTCATTCGTTTCATCAAACAAAACAAATTTTTATGCTATTTTCGATTCAGCCACTGGCGTGTTCTGGAGGCATGGCGCATGATGTCATATGACACCGCACGTGTTGGGCGCTGTTATCTTGATGTATATCTACAGTATGTGTATATCTCATGTGATGTTATGCTCCCCGCCTCAAAGATGGTGGCACAATTTTGCAGAACGCACCGGTGGCCAAGATGGCCGCCTCACATTCTCAAACAAATTGTTATGTGCCTGAATACATTTTTTGTATATTCGGGCAAATAGTAATTAATTAATTTACACATAGTCTAGGTTTTGTGTTCTGTTTTTTATTTTTACTTTTCTAGATACACTTACTTGAAAAAAGGGTCTGCATGACAACCTGACACTTTATTTTTATAGACTATATTTTAGTTTGACATTTATTGTTTACCACTTGTTTGCTTACCGTTGTTTTATTTGATAAGAATACTTATATTGTGCCTACAAGTTTAATACCTTTGAATACAAGTTTTATTTTATCATACTTTTTAATATGTTTCTTTGGGGCTTAACAAAATGTATTTAAATGGTGCGGATATTGGAGAAAAATGGGTGTGGTTACTGAGGAGTGTGGTCACTGAGGGGCACTGTGAAGCTTTTTAGCACAGGGCGCCTAAAGGCCTAAGGCCGGCCCTGCATGCAGCAGGTACTCCTCTCCTGACACTGCAGGCAAATCATTTACATTGCTTTTGCCCAGTTCTCCCCCTTCTTACCACCTGAATGCTTTAGGCCTGATTCATACCTAAATGTCAGCAGCTTTGCATGTAGAAACACAATTTTTTTGCTGCACGTTTTTGTGCGTTTGTACATGCATTTTCATTGAGTCGCAAGTTTTTAGGAGCAGATTGTGACACATTGATGCAAATGACAAAAACGTGTGCAAACGTGCATAAAAACCGCACAAAACCAATTGCAAAACGAGCTGTGATCTGCCAAAAATAAGCTCAAGTACTTTTCCCATCGACAGCCGTTTTGCATATTGCGACAAAACACTCAGGTGTGAACAGGAGCCATTAGAATGAATGGGATTTTTTTGGTGAAGATTTTTGTTGTGCTGAATCAGCTGCGACAATATGCTCAGTGTGAACCAGGCCTAAAGCTGAACAACGGTTACATACACAAATGAAAGACATATAAGGAAACGGTTTTACCTGCTAAAGGATTTGTATTTCTGTACATACAGTTCTGAGAGTTACACAGCTCTGAGACTCAACAGAACCCTGCTTGGCATGAAAGGGGACCTGATCTTTTTCTGCCGCAGTTTACTCTCACTTACAGGTCCCCTCCCGCACTCTGTGACTGGGCAGTAAGGGGAGAAGCTGTACACTGATGATCTCATCTTGCTGTTACTCTTCTCTTTCCTCATATCAACATTTTCTTTGCACTGCAGCACACCTAAATACACTTTTGGTTGCTTCTCCCATCCTCTCTCTCAGCTCTGCTTTATAGATTATACCGTAGTCTGCAAGCTGCAAGATGCTGATACCTGATGAAACTAGGGTACTTACTGTGCTTACAAAAAATACATTGAATAATGGATTGATGATTACAAAGCTACATTCATTTGAGACTTTTATATGTGCCTGGAGTTCAGCTTTAAATGCTTGAATGAACAAGGTTTCAAACTTCCAAATCCAGCCCCAGTGTGCAGGGGTGTCCTGAGGCGTGGTGTGACCCAGAGCAGCCACTGGGTGACACCCCACCATCGCGCAAGCGCATGAAGTCATAACACATGCTTGTGATGTCATTGTGCATGCATGTAATGACGTCGCTCGCTGTTACCTGCCGGTGGCCATCTTGGTGATGGACGTCGGCATAGAGGGGAGGGGACATTCACCCAGCAGGATAAAGTATGCCTCTCTTGTGCAACTGTCGGGCTCTCGGCCTATGACCGAGTGCCGGACGTTTCAGAGGGGGGTGACACCAAAATTACTGTCAGTCATTTGATGTCATCCCCTCCAATGGCACCCCACTAGTGTGTGTATATAGCTATATCTATCTATATATTTATTTTTTACGTGAGCATAACTTACCAGATTATCCCAATTATATGCGTATAACATGGATCCTAGTTTCCTGGAAATACTAAAGAAAAGGGATTTCATTACTTACTGTGGGTCACAAAGACATATTTTAGAAATCTTCTATACATCAGTCAGTGTACGTAATCAGAAACATGTATAAACAGAGAAGGAATATCAAAATAGCAAATGTTGGTAAAGCATTCATTAAAGTCTCAGGGTGGAGCACATTTAAGGCTGGTAAAAGTTATTTATTAATTAACACGAGATTTATATAAATTGGAAAAGTGATGCAATATTTTGTATTCTCCTGAATAGGTGCATACAGATCTGTTTGATCTTTGAAGAATCACACAATTTAGGAATGAAGACAGCCATGATTTAGAAATTATATAATTCTCTGCATACTGGACAGATCTGTCTGTCTATGTATGTATATACTGTGTATATACTGTGTATCTAACAAAGGTAAAACTTTCCTAAATTTCACACCCTTTAAGGCCTTTCTCCAGTTAAAAAAGGGGTCTGGGGTATGGTGAAGTGGACTTTTATACTTGTAAGGAAACCAAAGGACAGTCCGCGGAAGGAAGACAGGTGAGCATCGACTGTGGGGGGAAAAAAGAGATCAAGTAAGTAGAATTCCTCTTCATCATACCCCTAGACAAAAACAAGCATTTAACCCCTGCAGTGTGGGGGTAGCCCCACTGCAAGGGTAGTTTGTTTTTTACCCAGAGACAGGCTTTAAATGCCAATTCTACACTGAGGAGTTTGATCCTCACTTTTTGTGTGGACTTCAGTACAAGAAGTGAAAGAAAGCTCTCCAGCAGGAACATAAATCGCAATAAAGCAAAAAAGCAATTCTTCTTACTAGCCTGCGGTGGACTTCTTTCAGTTTTTAATTGTTGTCTGCTTTATTGATAGGGAGCTTTCTCTTACTTTCTATGTGGAACAGGAAGTGAATGAAATCTTGATAACAAGTACAGAGAGCAATAAAAACTTTACAGCTGTTCTACTCTCTTTACATCTAAATATATTTTGACTGAGGCTGAGCTTTGTACAATAAATATATACCTATGTAACATGCTAAGTGAGTTATTTGCTAAAACAAACCTATGCTGACAACATTTTGAAGGTCCCACATGCTGACCTCACCTTCTGGCTTCAGAAATAATGAAATCACTGGCACTGAATGAAAATATATAGATAAGGAGTTCCCAGTTCTCTCTGGCTTCCCAATATACACACTTGGTTTGTGTCAGCGGGCACAGAAAGTATTGAAATGCTAGACCGTCAGGCATAAAACATTTTCCAAAAGGCATGCAATAGCAACCTTGTATATTTCCTCTCAGCACAGATTTCCTTTAGGCTGGGTTCACACCTAGGTGTATTGAATATGCGCGTTTGTTGCGCGGTTCGCGTTGCACGTTTTTACCGCGATCCGCGGTAAAAAAAACTGGGCGACAAACGCGCGTTTCCATGGGCTACTTGGCTGTATCCCAATGGAAACGCGAGACCAAAACGCCCCAAAGAAGTACATGTACTTCTTTGGGCGTAGGCCGTTTTGTATCGCGTTCGGACGGGCGGAAATACTGCAAGGTGTGAACCAGACCCATTGAATACAATGGGATTTAGATGTTTGAGCGTTTTGTAGAGCGTTCGTCGAGCGTTGAACACGCTACAAAACGTTCAGGTGTGAACCAAGCCTAAAGATATTAATCATAGTAATCACATCATACATTAAACTTTAATAAAATCAGTAACAGTAATAACTTAAGTTTCATCCAACTCCACTGTTCTTCTGACCCCTCTAGGAGGTAACATAATAAAATACTGCATGATGTAAACAATATACATTCAGAGTACTCATGTCTGGTTTCATTGGGTCAAAGTTATACTAGAGTAAGATTATTTCCTCTCCATTTCTTAAAACATCTGTTTGGGAATGTTCAATATAACATGTTTAAATAAAGATTATATATATATATATAAAAACATCTGTTTGGTATGTCTCTGTTATTTTGTCACAAGTTTCAAATGACATCAGAGTGTACTAAAGCAGGAAATGACAAAGAAAGATAGATCATTATGACAACCACCAGAGCAGGAAATGGAAGATAAAGCTAGATCATTCTGCCAGTATTAAAACATCTTTGTTAGGCAAAAAACATCAAAACCAAGGCCAGAGCCCCAACCCAGTGGTTAGTATACTGTATATGTTAAAGTTTAATAATGAAAGTGAGCATATACAAAGTTTTGCTGTGATAATCTCAACAGATAAACGCCTTTTAGCAATCAGTAAAAGCGACACAAGCTGCCATACGTAGCATACAGCACACATATTCAGTAATGTATCCCATGCAGTAAGTGTACACAGCAAAGCACCACACTTTTTATTACAGAGACTGTTAGTGACTAGTATACAAATATCAGTCTTTAAATCAGTAATTACAGAGTTTAATACACAGCAGTGGTTACCTAAAACCTGACACAATTTCATATGTCTTTTGAAGTCCTTGTGAATGCTGGAATACCTGGCGTTAATAACTGTTATGAGAAAAATATGTATGGAGGCTGCTGTTGCTGACCTGCCCATATGAAAATGCCATTTGGCTGGCTGTCATGTGGACCCTTTGCTTTTGTACTGTGAGTCAATGACATTGAACAAGCATACAGGTAAAAACTTCTGACTATTCTCCAACCTTTTTTTTTTTTTTTTACACATCTTTTCCAGGGCAGTGACTCACAAGTTATTAAAGCTACTCAGTCAGCATAACTTGCAATTTTCAAGCCAGCAATGACAGCCCCTAATGGATGTCTATTAAATATGTGCTGAATTTGTTGTGAAATATACTTAACAACGTATTTGGTATCTAGATTAATAAGGGTTTGAGCGGATGCCGTAAACGTTATTTGAAAACTGATACGTTTTGAACATCAGCCTTAGTCAAACTGTTAAAGGAAACCTTGCAATCCACACAATGTTGAAAAGTAGCAACAGTAGCAGAAAGAAGGAAAATGTCATTCCCTAGTTTCACCTGATGGTTGTGATGTGCACCCTCGATTCTGGTAGTCATTAGTAGGTGTATCTGACTTCTGCTATCAATCAGCTCTTGAGCTTGGCTGCTAAGACTCTATATATTAGACTATAACTTCATACTCTTATTTGGTGCCTTGGTATTTTGTTTATTTCCTTGCCCTGATCTGTTACTGTACTTTGACCTCCTATTACCAAAAGACCCTGCCATGTCTGTTCCAGTCTGGTTCTGCCCAGCTCTGCTTGACCCCTTTGCCATTTCCCCTCTGCATTACCCTGCTTGTTTGGTTTTGGATAGAATGGGAAAGTGTTAGCCTTTCTGTCAGTTTTTGATTTCTGCCTGAGACCACACTGGAGAACTTTTCTCTTACTTCCTGTTCTTCTGAATTATGTGCAAGAAATTGAGGGGTTGTCTTGTGGAGAGGAAGGCATTCATATTTCAGAGTTCCTCCAATATGATTACAAGATTGGACATACATGTAATAGGATTCTAGACTTACTTCTAAAACACAGACACTCTTAGGTGCCTGTCTGTAGCGCCCAATGTCTTTTCGTGTGCCCTGAACCGCTAAAACCCAGGTCACCCTGAAACACATATCTCATCTTTCTCTGTACTTAAGAGCGAGTTCCTCCAGTCACCTGTGGCTACCTATTGGGCTTTGAGCCCGCACATTATGCTTAAAGTAAACTGGTTTTCAAAACATAAAAACATGGCATCCCTGAGGCCTGGTGCACGGAAACGCACAAAAAAACTATTCTTATGGGGCTGGTTCACACTTCCGCGTTTGCACGTACAAAAATGCATAATGCAGCACAAAGTACAAGCACAGTTTTCTGGCCGGTTGCAGCATATTCTGAATGTGGCTGTAGCTGCAAACGCGCATAAAAACCAGCGTCTATTAAAAATGATCTGAGCAAATTCCAAACGTGCAGGTGTGAATGGAGCCTACAGTAGCAGTCACCCTCCAATCACTTAAACTACCTTCCCTGTTCTCTCCATCAATCTCATGGCTACTCTAACCTCTCCAGAGTTTCTGTGTGAATTACACCCCTCACCCTTCATATGACAGCACTCAGGGCTGGTGACTGGCTGCATAGACAAGAAGCAGTGCATTGTTGGAGTTTAGGATATTGTGTTTCTCCATACCAGGAAGTAGTGACATTTTTATAGCTGGGGACTCTGGAAGCAGATGGGAGGGGAAAGGTCAGTTTAAGGCACCAGAAACCATCACCTTTCATAAATGAGGGGAGGACTAATGATTGGTTTTTGAACACAGGTCTACTATAATGAGCAATAGTTAGGGATTGGAGTCCTCGACTTTTGTAGAAGTTAAGATTTGCATATCAGATTGTTCTAGGTATTAGTTGTTTTGGGGTTTCCATGTGCTCAAAAAGACTTTGGGAGGTGTAAGTCGGCACCCAAAGGCAGAGGCGGCTCTAGAGTTTGCGAGGCCTTAGGCGAAACCTAAACATGAGGCCCCGCTCAGGCCTGTGGGGTCTCACCAGGGTTCTGTGGGGTTTAACCAGGCTGGTGAGACCCCACAGAGCCCCAGTAAGACCCCCAAAAAGCCCTGGTGAGACCCCACAGAGCCCTGAATAACCCAGGTCTCTGTAGGGTCTCACCAGAGCTCTGTGGGGTCTCATCAGCCTGGTTAGACCTCTCAGAGCCCTGGTGAGACCCCCACAGAGCCCTGGTTAAATCAGGGCTCTGTAGGGTCTCACCAGCCTGTAGGGTCTCAACAGGGCTCTGAGGGGTCTAACCAGGGCTCTCTGGTTGTCCCACCAGCCTGGTTAAACCCCACAGGGCCCTGGTGAGACCCCACATAGCCCTGGTTAAAGTAGGGCTCTGTGGGTTCTCACTATTTCTGGTTAAACCCCACAGAGCCCTGGCAAGACCCTACAGAACCCTTGTGTTGGTGAGACCCTACAGAACCCTGGTTTAGCCAGGGCTCTGTAGGGTCCCACCAGGGCTCTTTGGGGTCTCACCAGGGCTCTGTGGGGTCTAACCAGGCTGGTGAGATCCCTCGGGGCCCTGGTGAGATCCCTCGGAGCACTGGTGAGACCCCACAGAGCCCTGGTGGGACCCCACTACCACCAGGGCTCCGAAGGGTCTCACCAGGGCTCTATGGGGTCCCACCATGGCTATGTGCGGTTTTACTAGCCTGGTGAGACCCCTCAGGCCCCTGGTGAGACGCCAAAGAGCCCTGGTGAGACCCCACAGAGCCCTGGTTAAACCAGGGCTTTGAGGGGGCCTCACCAGGGTAGCAGGACTCTGTGAGGTCTCACCAGGGCGCTGTGGGGTCTAACCAGCCTTGTTAGAACCACATCACCCTGGTGAGACCCTTTGGAGACCAGGGCTCTGTGGGATCTCACCAGGGTGATGTGGGGTCTCACCAGCACCAGGGCTCCGTAGGGTCTCCCCAGGGCTCCCACCATGGCTTTGTCGGGTCTCGCCAGCCTGATTAGACCCCTCAGAGCCCTGGTACCTCACCAGGGTAGCAGTGCTCTTTGGGGTCTCACCAGGGCTCTAACCAGCCTTGTTAGACCCCACAGACAGCTGGTGAGACCCCACAGAGCGCTGGTTAAACCGGGGCTACCTAGGGTCTCCAGGGTCACAGGGCTCTCACCATTGCTGTAGCCTGTGAAGGCTGCCTCTCACCAGGACTGTGCAGGGAGCATCTCGCGGGTGGGAGCGTCTCACGGGCGGGAGCGTTCAGGACGAGCCGTTGCTGACTACGTCTCCGTCCATCTGCCCCTGACGATCCACTCTCCCAGCCAGATTTAACTCCGCCCTCCCAGCCAGATTCAACTGCGCCCTCCCAGCCAGATTGGGATCCTTGCACAGTGGATGGGAGGGGTGAGATGGCTTCCCAGTGGCTGGTGGGCGGAGCTCCAGAGGACCACTGGCCGAATGGACGGACCGAGGAAACAGATAAGCTCTCAGCTCTGTCGCTGTCAAACGGAGAGTCTCCGTTTGACAGCGACAGGGCTAAGAGCTCATGACGTTACCTGGCTGTGAGGTAATGTGACGGCAGGGCAAATTAGGCGGCCGCGAGGCCCTCGGGAGCGCGAGGCCTAAGGCGACCGTCTAATTTGCCTAATTAAAGAGCCGCCTCTGCCCAAAGGTGTCTGCTTTTAATTACTACTGCTTTACAGCATTCTCTGGATTGAAAGGTTTTCTTTAAAATTGCATTCCAGGCAATACATGCATGAAATGCATATGTGAATGTTGTTTTACCTGCTAAAGAATTTGTATTTCTGCCAAACCAGTCCTGAGATTTCTACATCGCAGCCAGAAAACACAGCCAGGTTGGTGACCTGACCTTTTTCTATGGAAGTTATGTAGCACATAGGTCACCTTCCTGTCCTCAGTCTGTCATTTGACAGTAAAGGAGCAGATAAAGTCATCACTTGAGTGCTGCTGTAGAGGGGATGACAAGTGACTGAAATCAAATAAATGTCAGGTATTTACTGTATATTGTTTGCAATAAAAATATATTTAATGATTTAACTGCATTCCTTGTTTTTTTAATAACTGTTTGATGTTTAGCTTGTTGCACTGATATAAGTGTGTATATAAGTCTATCTATCTATCTATCTATCTATCTATCTATCTATCTATCTATCTATCTATCTATCCCACCAAGTGCTCTGCCATCTACGACTAACCGTACTATTAGGGTCGACCCACCCCTGAGGGGGTACTATATGCCTACACAGTAGAAGAGTGACACCACTATTAAACTATATAAAAATGTTTTGGGTTGAGTTAGATTATGTTCTAATAAGCAGCATGGTCTTGGTATGCATTGCTGCCTTTTAACAGGGTCATTATGTAATTTTACATCGGTTACATGCATTGAGTAATGCCCCCTAATCAAATCTCATTACAATTGTCCATGCAATCAAGGTACTTTAAACAAAAAAAAAAATCACCATTCACATAGGTGTTTTCTGCTCCACGCTGTGCTGGCATAAATTTGTCTGCAGTCTTCTGAGTTTCCACATTAACAGCATAATCTGTAGGAATGATAAATGGGACTGTGTAACAAAAAGGTAATTGAAATACTTACATGTGCCTTTTCAGATACACCAGAATCTTTAACTTTATTCTAGTCCCAACATGTATGAAATGTAAAGTAAATGAAAGAACATCACTTTATAAATACTATGGAGCTGGTGAAATAGCTAACATTTTTGTGTCTACTCCACCTCAATACTTTATTCTAAGAGCAAAATAAAGGGAAACGCCTCTTAGGTTATTAGAGATGAGCCTATTTTTTTTTGGTTATGTAAAATGAAAGTCTGGCATGTATTTATTTATTATGGATTCATTTTGTCCCCATCTATCTCATTCAAATCTTGACTTTGCTTTACTACCACTCTGCTACGTAACATGGCATCACATATGTGTCAACTTGTACTTAGGAGTTTTGACTATGTTTTAGGGTATATATCTGGAACTGTGCATATTAGATAAAAGTAGAATTGGGGGAAACAACCAAAAAAAAATCACTAAAATATTTGCTTTCAAATGTGCTTCCAAGATAATGCGCTATAAAAAATGTTGTCCCCCCTTTCTAATCCTGCTGTAGGGACTTACCTTAAATGATGTTTCTTAATCCGATATTCTTCTTCTATCCTGTCCTTTTCAGCTGTCCCTCCAGCGCTGGTGCGGGTCTCCGAACCAGTGCTGACTCCTCACCTCTGATGTCCAACAGTGTCTGTGCGGGTGCACGCTGCTCCATAGACTTACCTTGTGTCTCGCCTCGTCTCCCGGGCAAACATCTGAAGCGCGCATGCGCCCGCCTGAAAAATGTTCAGATGTTCTGACGGAAGCGCGCGGCGAAGACACAGGTAAGTTTAAACCCTTTTTTTTTTTTAAATAATTTTTTTGTATACATCTACTGCTTGTTAGCAGTAGATATATGCAAAAACACGCGAGGGTTTAATAACCCTTTAAGCAGTAAACAGGTATGCATTAGAAACCCCCTCTGTTAAAATGTAAGCTGTACTGTCAGCATGCTGTACATAAGGGAAGGCATACACAGAAAGGTTTCTCTGGGTTGCAAACCACCGTCATATCACCACATGTGAAGTAGGTAAACAGTTATGGTTAATGGTTTTGGCAGCTCCTCATTTTAAAACATTAGCCTATGATTCCATCAGAATGGGAGCTGTCTTTGATAGTATCAGATGCACATTCTCTCCACAGCCCCTCAACAAGGACTAAATAGAAACACACACATTGTTGGCTCATGTTTACATCTGACCATCCTCCAATGGCCTTTAACTGTTTTCAGTTAAATTTCATTAAGTCATATAAACTTTCGAAGTGGGATCATTTTGGAGTTAACATCCCAGATTGGAGCTATTTTTTGTTTACTTTTCTTGTACAACAGACACTATCTTTGTGCTTGCCTGGTAAAATAGCAATCATAGGCTAACCTTTACAAGCAATTGGATTTAAGTCAAAGCAGTGCCCAGTATTGCAACCATTAAACTACTCATAGCTCTTTATTTGATTAAACCAAAGCTGCCCATACACCTTGCGATCATCGGATGAAACATTTAGTCCGATGATCGAACCGTCGTGCGATTTTCGTACAGCGGCCCCATCCTGCCCCGATCATCACAGGGTTCAATTAACGGTAGTTAAAAAAAACACCTGGACGAATTGCGTTAATCGACCGTATGTATTTTTGTTTGCGCATGAGCAGTGTTAATAGTACAAATTTTGACGTACAGAAACGCCACCAACCTTGCGAAAACGGTTTGATTGACCAAAGTTTTATAACCTACTGGAAAGTCAAAAGACGTACGATTGTACAGTATTTGCGGTTGTACACTGCCCATCAACCTTTAAAATATCAGACAAAACGCGATTTCGATACGAATATCGGACGATAATCGTAAGGTGTATGGGCACCTCAAGAAAGGCCTATGTTTTAAACAAATTAGTGCTTTATAAATAAAATAAATAAATAATAATAAAATTACCTGTCTACCCAACTTATTTTCCAAATGCCCTATAACACTTCTTTTTGTCTGCATTTAATCAAATACCTGTTTATGACCCTATAACTAGTTAGCCTGGTAAAATCAACATAACAATTTTCTTGCATCTAGTCGTCATTTTCCTGTTCGTGCCTTGCAAGAATCCATCCACATGGGATAAAAAAAAAAAGAAACATTGATACTAAAAATCTAAAAAATACAACAAAGCAAGAGCCTAAAATATATCCGGTGGCCTGACAAACAGGAATGAACTAGCTCTGTTCTGATTGGCAGACATGTTTTCAATCAGTCAATAGCATGTCTTTCCAGTGGAGGGCCCAATGTGTAATTTATTCTTTGGTGTTTTCCTAATTACTGATTTTTTTTTACTACCATTTGTATTTCAAAGCAATGGGTTTTGTGCAGGATGACTTTGGAACAATGGACAGGAGAGCTTCTATTAAACATTTAATTAGTAATTGCATTAAAACCAAGTCGGAATTTGGAGATTAGGAAACTTTAAATAGTAAAGTCTACACTGGTACACATTTCTTCCGCAGTACACAATATCTATTTTTATTAGTGACACAACAATATTAACTGATCAGATTGATATTCCAGAATCAACTTAATATCAGACTGGTATATATATATAGATATAGAGAGAGAGAGAGAGAGAGAGAGAGAGAGAGAGAGAGATATTTGAACGTACAATGAATACCTGTAGATCAATAACAAATAATATTTCCAAAACTCTAGTTCTCTGCAGAATATAAAAAGTAAAGATAAACAATCATATAAGCTAATTCCCAGTGCTTCCATTGGAAATGTATAGACTTAGAAGTATCACTCTGATGACATGGTAAAAATGTCAATGAGCTGGTGCTCTGGCAAGGAAAGAAGCGTTTCACTGCAATAGTGATTGTCACATAACCATATGAAGTAAAGGAAGGATAAGTAGGAAAAAAGGGATGCTAAAAAGGCCATGCTCTAGGTAAGGGTAGCCAAATTTTGGCGCTCCAGCTGTCGTTAGACTACAAAACCCATCATGTATCTGCCTCGAAGAGTCATGCCTGTTGCTGTCAGAGTCTTGCGATGCCAAATGGAATTTGTAGTTTCACAACAGCTGAAGGGCTGCAGTTTGGCTAACCCTGCTCTAGGTGGTAGAGGACAGTGCAGCTCACATGTTGAGCTCTGTTCTATGAGGTAGAATGTTCCAAATCATCAAAAGACCCCCAAACTAAATTATAAAGGGTTACAGAATTGTTCAGTCAGGTTGTAAGGTACTCGATATTTTGTACCTTTTTGATACGTTTGTAAAGTTCCATTTTGGATGGAGATGTTGGCTGTTTCCATTTCAAGACTATTAGGCAATGTGCAGCTGTCAAGATATGAGATGTTAATCTATTTTCAAATTTGTCTAACTGCTGTTAGGGTAAGGGTACGCCTAACAAAACAGAGAGAGGGGATAGAGGAAGGTTGTGTTTGACAAGCCTTTCAAGCAAGTTATGGACCATCCACCAGAAAGTCTGTATCCTTGGACTTTGCCAGTATATGTGAAATAAAGAAGAATATACTAGACTTTGAATATGACTGGTTGCTGTATAGAGAACTATATTCTAGTAATACAAAAGTAAAATAGGTCAGGTCCCTCATATGGCTTACACAGCAATAACATCGTGCCATATTAGACCATATCAGGTTAATAGAGATTTCATACCGATCTGTGTGTCATATATGTTTGAAACATATGGTTTCAGTTTCCCTCTGGTCTCCCTAATAAAGTGATCCACAACATCATCAAGGCTGTTCAATATGACCTAGGGAAGGAAGAAAATGCAATATTTTAACTGAAACGGAAACATACAATGGCTTGTACACAAAATATATGGCACAGCATAACAACTTAATAGACAATGTGACCCTAATTTATTATAGGAGTACAGCATGTTCACTTTCAAAGTGAATTTTTACTTATCTATATATCTATCTACGAATCTAAATACAAACTGAAAGTTTAATTTACAAAGAATACCCAATCATGTGCAAAAAAAAACAAAACAAGATTTTCTGCTTGCACATATTTGGATGATTGAAGTCAGCACGACTTCACCTAATTCACTAAGCTAAGTAAATTTACTTTTGCAAACAAAGTTCACTTCTCTTAGGGACAGTTCACACCTTAGCACTTAGAAACTAGATGTCATTTGTGTTCTGTTTATTAGCATTTTTACACGTCATTTCTTGCAATTTTCCCTTACGAATTTTCCCTTATGAATTTTCCCTTGGTTTGGTCATTTCTGCTCTTCCAATGTGTTTACAAAATACTCAAATATGTATGCTACATATACTTTTGCAATCGCCATGGGTGCAAAAATGCTTAAAGAAGAACTATGAGGTGAGTGAAAATTACTCATCCTCATAGTTCGAGCCGACGTGTGTCAATGAAACTGTCACATGTCGGCTCAATAGATCGGGAAGTAAGCGAACACATACCGCGCTCTCTCACTTCCCGATCATCTCCCTGCAGAAAGCTGTGGTCAGTCACCTCTCCCCGAAGGGATTCCCCCCTCCCCTCCCCGATCCTCCAGCGCTGACTGGAGGGATGCGGCGGTCTCAGTATGCCGCTAGCTGTAGCTCGCGATATACTGAGCTTTGGGTCACGGGAGGACACTAGTATATGTCCTCCCGTGACCCTAAAGAGAACTATGGGGAAAAACACTGACCCCATAGTTCTCTATTAAATGCATAAATACAGTATGGCTTACAGAAGCACAGTAACATGAACTACCTACAGTCTATAAGTTAGCCTTCCCTGCATATGTGTAAATGTTGTACTGGATAGTGGATGTACTGCTGGAAAAACACATTGACAAATGGGACCGAATAATACAGCATTACCATCATAACCATTATTATTATTACTGTACTGCTCATGCTGCTAATATTAGTGCTGCTTTAATAATACTCATTTACTGTATATGAACATTTGAGTTCGCTACCATTAAATGTATCTCAATGGAGGATGCACGGGCCTGATTGTTAACCAGTTGACATCCGGGGTGTTAAACCCCCTTCCGATCCAGGCCATTTTTCAGTATTCAGCGCTGCGGTACTTTGACTGACATTTATTCCGTCATGCAGCGCTGTACTGAAATGAATTTTATACCCTTTTTTGGGGACACATAGAGCTTTATTTTGGTGGTATTTAATCACCACTGGGGTTTTTATTTTTTAATATATTAAGGAAAAACTACAGATTTAAAAAAAAAAAAACAGTGCCCCCTATATTAAATTCTAAAACATTTATTATTACCAAATTTTTTGGTAAAATATAAAAGACGGGGTCACATCGGGTAAAGAGACACCAAACATGTCAAGCCTTAAAATTGCGCATGCGCGCTAAACCTCAAAAAAACGACACTACCCAAAATTGGCCATAGGCGACGCATTAAAAGCTTTTACCGAAACTTTTATTAATTATAATCACACTATACTAGACCTTAAATATGACTGGTTGCTGTGAGGAGAACTGTGTTCTAGTAATAAAAAAAGTAATTCAGGTTAGGTCCCTCATACAGCTTACACAACAATAACATTGTGCCATATAATATCTTTGTACACACCTAAACCTGCTTACAGTTCATCATAACTGTGGCTGCTTTGTCTATCTTGAACCAGTTACACAAGCTGCTCATAACATAAGCTTGCTCTCACTCCCTTAATACTCTAAAAAAAGAGCTTAAACTGCGCTATACACAAGTATCCAGCATTTTCTATTTTATTACAGCTTCTCTGCTAACAGGGTAGAGTGCCTGTTTTTCATCTTCATTACTTCATGTACTAACATTGTAACCTCAATTGGGGGCCTAGTTTACCTGTGACTAGTAACAGCGTATGTTCACTAGTATGTACAATTAGGCTGAGCATACAACAGAGTGACAGTCGTTTAGACAGAACTTTGCAGATTACCTCTGTCTGTCCAGAATGTATATGTCTCCTTATGTAAATTTTTATGTTTTATTAAACAGAATATAACAGTCTCCAGATCTATGCATTTTCACTTCACACATAAAGTATATTACAGAAAATAGTATATTACAGATATTTCTGTTTAGCCTTGAGTATTGCTTTTTATATTCTTTGAAAAACTACATTTTCTCTTTCTTTCTGTTACGCGTGATTAGTTGGATATGCCTTATTAGGCCTCCATTTACACAATGATTTATAACCTCTTCCCGCCCGATGATGGGATTACTCCGCCACCATCAATTAGTTAGTTAACGGTGGGTGACGGGATAATCCCTGCATGCTGTACAATGAGCGCTGGTCTGTCGAGGGAAAATTAAATGAATGAAAAAATAACCCCTTAGTGCCCCCTAGTTTTACAAAATAAAAAATTAAATTAAATAATAAAAACGGTTTTAAAATGCAACTGGATTCAGAATTGAGAAAGCTGGTCAGATGTCCAGTGAAACACTGGACATCCGACTAGCTTTCTCAATTCTGAATCCAGTTGCATTGACTTATTTTTTACAAATATACCATGACCTGGATGAATGAGAACCTTCACAGACTTAAATTATGAGAAAATATAGTGCTAAGGAGGCTATTAAAGATAGGAGACAAACATACAACATTCTAAAATTGTTCCACACTAAAACTGTATTTCACTCCTTGTATTTTGTGACCTATAACTCACAACAAGCTGAAATCCCAGACATATGATATACCCTATTAATCAGGACAAATATAAGAATGTATTATGAATTACTTTCTGTTAGCTACACTAATCATGTACACATTATTATTGCCAAAACTGTGAAAAATGTGTTTTTTCCCCCCCATTGCTTTGTATAGGAATTTCTATATGCATATTTCACATCAACTTAAACCCCATTTTGTCCTTTACAAAACGGTATATAATATGTGTAGGTGCAATGAGCGAGGAAGATGAAAATTATGGTAAAACAAACACATGGCAAAATTGCTCCGGTCCGCAGAAGCGAAAACATTTTCTGAAGCTGTGTCACTAAGGGGTTAAGGTCCTTCTGCGGATCCTTGTTCCCTGAATAAGCAAAATCCTCCTTAATTTGTGTCTTACATACTCCCTCTCCCAGGTACTTCAGGTCACAGTTGGAGGATTTCAGAAACAAAGGCAGTGCTGTCAATGTACCAAGTGCTGACTGACAAGCCACAGGCATGTGAATCAACAGTGATAATGGAGTTAGTCATGCCCCCTGCAACTTTGTGTCATTCATCATAGTGCAAGCAGGCATGGACTACATGAGAGTGGCAACTCTGCCCTGGATTTGGGAACAGTGTAGCATAGTTGCCACACCATCACAAACAGATGCATTAGGTGGACTTGACTGGCAGGCTCAACAGACATTTGTGGGACTTTGCAGGTGGACTACAAGAAAAATGAAAGTGCTGAAGCACTTATATTGAAGTGCTCAGGCACATATTTTTTATTGGGAGGACATAGTTCTACTTTAACTATTCACAACATTCTTTTTCTCCACTCTGCGCTGTACTTTATACACTTTACACTACCACACTCTAAATTAACTAGCTCTGATGAAGGGGATGTATATTTGCCCCTGAAATTTGTTGGCTTTGTGTATACGTTTTAAAACCTGTGTCTGGACTATAATATCACAATGTGGCACTTCAATTCTAGCCCTATCCATTCCAGTAACAGCCCAATGTGACCAAGGAACCCCTTTGTTGTGCAGAATTTACCAGCCAATTGTCCAGACAATCTCTTTTCATTAAACTGGGGTTCCAGCACCACCCACCCACCCAATCTCATAAAGCCCATCTCCGGCCAAACCAAATAACTACCCTTGAGAGGGGCTACCCTGCACTGCAAATGTTAAGTGCTCGTTTATATCTGGGGGACCAAAGTAAAGCACTTTTGTTTATTTGATCCCCGCTCCCCCAGCATTCAGCGCTCACCTCTGTCCTCTCTTTTCCGGCTCCTCAAATGCCCCTCAGTGTCCTCATGTCTAATGCAGGTCTATGGAACCTGCATTAGACATGCTAATGTCAGCCGTACTTAGACCGCCGAAGCAAAGGGGAAAAGAGGCGGCAGGGACCGGTCTAGTAGCCCAGGGGAAGCTGATGGGAACGGGTATCAGGTAAGTAAAATAGCTTTTTCCTGTCCCCTAGGATGGGCTTTAAACTTGAGTGGATTAAGAGATTTTCATTTCATGTACCTGTGGCAACAATGTAGTGGCAACTAATGGTACATGATGATGTTACACTGGCTACAACAAAGTTTTTTTTCTCTCTTAATTCATTTTGATAGAACAGGCAAGACAAAGACATACGTTTTACAAACTCTCATGTGGTCTCTATTTTTATTTTTTTTTAAATCAGTGGTCTCTATTTTTTGCCTTAATTTCTTAGGTTACAGCACCAGTGGCGTCACAAGGGGGGTGCGGCCCGCACCCGGGTGACAACATTGGAGGGGTGACGACACCAAAATGACTGAGAGTCATTTTGGTGTCACCCTCTCTAAAAAGTCAGCATACCTCATCCCTCCGAGTGAACATCCCCTCCTCTCTCTGCCGACGCCCATCACAAAGATGTCCGCAGGCAGGCGTCAATTAGATGACCGGGCATGCGCGATGACGTCACGGTGGGGTGTCACCCGGTCTTTGCTCCGGGTGACAACCGGCCTCGGGACGCCCCTGCACAGCACTGCCAGCTGTTTGGCCTTGACATCAGGTAAATCCACAAGAAATATATATACTTACAGGCTTGTCCAGTTCAATAGTGAAACCACGGTCTGTTTTTAGAATCCTGTAATGTTTGACTTGGGACCTGCTGTTGGAGAAAAAAAAGTGGATGCATAAAGTCAATATTAATCCATGCCTGAGTGCTTTGCTTGCTTTTAACACAGTATTACATCAGATCGCTTATTAGATATATTTCACAATGAATACTATGTATTATGATATTAAAGGGATACAACCATTTTGCTATATAAACCATTTACATGGTATAATTGCTATATAAACCAATTGATCTCTGGACATATCAGTGTAACATAACATCATTCATTTGTTTTTGTTTTCATTACAATCTCCAAATCCCAAGTTCATAATACAAAGAACAATGTATATAAAGAGCCCTTCACTAACCGTGGGTAGACTCAGGCAACAGAATAACAGATACAAAAGACTAGAATGTAAAAAGATCTTTATGTTACAATCTTCACAACATAATAATTGTCTCTCATACAACAGGGCTCACCTCCTACATCCCTCAGCAGAACAGGCCTGTACCTGCTGCCCAAACCATCCAAACTACAGTGACACTCTGAGATCTGCAACTCTAAAACCAACTTGCCAGACATTTCTCCAACTCCCAACTAAAGCAAATGAGGGGGACAAAGGGCCAAGCTGACAACAAGGATGAGTAGTCAGGCCCAGTCTTGTGGATCCATTTAGAACACATCCTATGGAATCACTCAATCCTACCCTGTTTAATGCGCACAATTTCTTCCATTTCTTGTACATAATGCACTCCTTCAGGGTGGGAGGTTGAAAAGAATGCCGATTGCTAGGGATCAAACAACGAGCCGCATTGATCATATGCATGGTGAGGAAATTCTTATAACAAGTCAATGCCACGGCTTGATCATGGAGAAGAAAAACCTCTGGCTTAAAATTCACAGAGTACCCCAGAATGTGTGTTATCACTGAATGAACTGATCTCCAGAATGGTTGGATTCCAGGACAGGCCCAAAAAAATGTGGATCAGAGTTCCAAGCTCACCTGCATAACGCCAGCAAGTAGAGGGGACATCATTAATTTGTATTTAAATACTTTCTGATAAAATAAACATGATAAAATAAAGTGGAATCCAGCTAGTCTAGATAAAGTGGGAAAGGGATGGACCATCCATCAGATTTTATGCCTGTGCCATTATAAAGCTGGCCATACACCTATAGATTATCTGCAGATTTTCTGTGGTCAGATAGAGAAAGTGCAAGAGAGCCCTCCATCTACGCTAAACTGTGTGGCCGGAGGAATCTCCCACTGGGCCAAGCTTCAGTATCTTGGTGGTCGGCCCCACTGGCTCTCAAAACACCTGAACAATGCCTGCATCCAATCAGATTGTTCAGGTAGTTTGACAGGCAGCGGGGCCGACTAGCAAGATACTAAAGCTTGGGCCAGTGGAAGATTGCTCCATCCACACAGTTTAGCGTAGATGGAGGAATCTGTTGCACTTTTTCCAACTGACCACAGAAAATCTGCAGATAATCTATAGGTGTATGACCAGCTTAAGAGAGTTTTGACTTTACTTCCTGTGTTGGAGATATAGTTGAAAGTGAGAGGAAATCTCCCCAAAGTGAGAGGAATTTCCACCTTTGACAGCTGTCATCTGAACAGGTGCCCTTATTACAAGATCCCCCTTATTCCAATGACACGTGTGAAATGCAAAACTTTAATTCACTTTCTGTCTCAGAAGCAATCTCCTACGTACAGAAACATATAGCAATGAAAACCTCACACAAGGTTCTAATGCCATGCCTGTAGTATCCGTTATTCCATTCTGCTCTAAGCACTGAGAGCTGAGCAGAAGTGAAGTGAATAAATGGTAAATATATGATGTGGAAGTTTGGAGGTTTAGGCCCCATTCACACCAGATCCATTAGCATCCGTTTTCAACAGATGCCAATGGAAGGACATCTGAAAATGAATAGGAGTGAATGGGAGCAGTTCACACCAGTTTGTTAGAGCAGGCTGTACTTTTTGTCGGTGCAACGCAACAGACTGGTGTGAACTGTCAATAGAAGCTAGAACCAATACCGTATAAGGGTTACTATAAAAATAAACCCCCCTCCCCCCAATCGCAAACAAAACGACCTCTGTCGACTCACTTTTTTGTCTCTAATTCTGGTGTGAATGCACCCTCACAGTTATATATTTTCTTACCTATTTTCAGAGGGCTCTCGAATAGTTACAGCATAGTTCTTAGAGTCTCCCCCGGGCCTCAGTATTAAATTGCCAAAGCTTTCGTTCTTCACGAGCATTTCTGCAGCTTCATGACGAGATACACTGTAAAAGCACCTGTACAAAGTGGAAACTGAATTAAATCACACAATATAGCAAGACACAATGCATATAAAGCTACATGATTAAATCTGGGTATCATACAGGACCATATCCCTTAACCCTTTCGCTGCCAAGCCCTCCGGAACACTTTAAACCTCAGCTGGCCACAGCATTTTTGAATTTTTTTGATACTCTATTGCTGCGTTGCTAGCGTTTGTGAAAGACCCCCCTCAACCATATATTTTCTGAAAGCACAGGCCCGGTAGAATAAAAAGATGGTGCTACTAATTTTGTAGGTTCTGCGATAATTGCGCAAATGTTTATGAAATCAGTATGAAACCGATAAAAATACACAATTCAATTGATAAAAGCACACTAAAATCAGTATCAGTGCAGGGAAAAAATACTTTTCTGACTAAATCTGACAGATAAAACTGTACTGAGTTAATAAATAACAAATATTTATAAATTTAAAATTGCACCTTTTTGCAAAACAGTAAAAAATTAGGAACGCAAAACTGTAAATAAGCAAAATGTTAAAAATCATTTGTGCGCTGTGCTGGTGTATGTGTTGTGATAAAATGATACAGGCGTACATTCAATCACAACACAACAAATCACAACTCACGGCAATGTGACACAACACTTTGCCATGTGCAGCCACAGTTCCTTTTTGAAATAGAAAAAGAAATTGAGGACACAGAGTCTTTAATCTCTTTTTCTACAGCCTCTGTTCTAAATGAATGGAAAGCACTCAGTACAGAGGCTTCCTATTCATTCAGAAACTGGAGATAGTAAGCTCTGCCTCCCCCCCCAACTCGCAGCTCGATGCTGTCTCTGTCCTGCCCATACAAGTGGGGGAGACCAGCAGCGGCCGTAGCGGTGGTGCAGGTGTGTGTGTGTAGGGGGCCGCTCATGACAGCTATTATTTTACAGGGGACCATGAGATTACAGCAGAAGGGCGAAAACCACCGATGTAATGCTTTCTGAGCTGGCCAGCTGGAAACAATTGTGTTCCGCCGTAAGCCTTTCATCAAAATTTTTTCCTCGCAAGCCTGTTCTTTCCTTTCAAGTACAGAAAAAAATCTCCAGAAATGCACTCGGCTCTTAAAAGTTCCTATTATGGGCTGACAACACACAACATTTGTGTGGTCTCAATGGTGTCAGCCCTTCCCAAATTTCTTTCAGTAAACCAGTGTTTCTAACATATTCAGTCAGGTAACATTTTTAATGTATGCAAAATCTTGAGGCAGACACCCCTAAGGTGTAAAGGACATCAGGAGCTCCCTTCACATTAGAAGTCCCCCCCCCCCCCTCCCCCCCAATGTCTTCACATCAGAATCACCCCCTTCACATCAGGAGCCCACCTGCACCAGGAAAATGCATGACATTGTGCAAAAATATTGAGGCACCCCTGAGGAAGCCAGAAGGCACACAAGGGTGGCACGGCACCCTGGCTGAGAAAGGCTGGGCTGAACTACTGTCTTCAAGAGTCAACAGTTTATTTTTGCATTTACAAAACAGACATAATACAATTATTTTAATGGTATATTTAACAGACCATATGCAGCAAATATGTAAAAGTTAATTGTTAGTGTTTACATGCACTCAAGGGCTTACCTTATGGGCTAACTCTTATAGGCCCAAGTGTTCAAAACTTCCATCAAGGATTAGTTTAAATGAAAGGGTAAGACTGAGTTAAAGTGAATGTATAGCGAAAACTTGTTTAAATTAGTTTTGGATAGAGTAGGGAAGGGTTACAACTCTTCTCGGGAGTTTCTTTTCACTTCCTGTCCTGGAGACAAAACGGGAAGTAAGAGTAAATCCCAAAGTGAGGGGAATTTCCATTAGACAGCTGTCACCAGAACAGGTGTTCTAAATGGAAGATTCAGCCTCACCTCTTGCTCTCATGACAACAATGGTCTTGTTAGAGAGTCCAACCCTTCTGCACTCTATCCAAAACTAAAAAAAGTTTTGCCATTACATACAATTTAAAAGGTCTATTTATAAATGTTTTTACCCAGTATCCACAAAATAAATAAATAGCCCCTTAAGTGTTAAGATAGGGCATGCTAAGATCTAAGCGCACATTGTAGAGGAGGGGGAAATGTTAAAGGCTCATTTTAGGAGTTAGGTTAAAGGAGAACTAGGGGGTAAGTGTTTTTCCCCATAGTTCTCCTAAGGGTCACGGGAGGACATAAACTAGCGTCCTCCCGTGACCCAAAGCTCAGTATAACAGCAAAAAGTTTTGCTTTCCAAAGCTCAGTATATCGCGAGCTACAGCTCGAGGTATACTGAGACCGCCGCAGCCGGGACGGATCCCGACATTACTGTCGAGATCCACCCAGCTGCATGAGTGACAGCTGGCTCTGCCTATCTAGAGGCAGAGCCAGCTGTATCCGCCCCCTCCCCCGTCCGTTCCGCCAGTCAGCGCTGGAGGATAGGGGAGGGGGGAATCCTTGCAGGGAGCCGTGAGTGACAGTCACGGCTCTCTGCAGGGACATGATCGAGAAGTGAGCGAGCGACGGTATGCATTCGCTCACTTCCCGATCTATTGAGCAGACGCGTGACAGTTTCATTGTCACACGTCGGCTCGAACTATGAGGTTGAGTGAAAATCACTCCTCATAGTTCTCCTTTAAGTGTTAAGATAGGGGAGGGTTAGGTGTTTTAGGGTAGTGTATGCTTTGGTGTGGAGTTGTAGATTTAGACCCATTGTTTAAGCAGGGATGTTTGGGGGTATTTTAGGCTAGTGTTTGCTTTGTTGTTTTTTTGCTTTAGGAGAGCTGAACATTTTCAATGATGGAAGCCTATTCTGAAACCTACCAGCAGCAAACCACTGGAGCAAACATATGGCATTTTTATTGTTTATAATCACCATGCAATTACATCTTTATCACACAGCAGGCATAACCTAGTTACGTCAAGCTGAATTGACACAAACAAATGAAAATACACATTTACAAAAAAAAGGTTTTAAAGAGAACTTATATTCTGCTCAATTTAAATTACTAGCACGTCATATGGCTATGATATTTAGGCCATTTTTCAGTATTCAGCGCTGCAGTACTTTGACTGACATTTATTCCGTCATGCAACGCTGTACTGAAATGAATTGTATACCATTTTTTGGTGACAGATAGAGCTTTCTTTTGGTGGTATTTATTCACCACTGGGGTTTTTATTTTTTACTATAGAACGAAAAAAGGACCAAAACTTTTCAAAAAGAAATCTGTTTTCCCTACGTTATGTTATAAAACATTTAATATTACCCATTTTTTGGTAAAATATAAAATACAGGGTCACGTCGGGTAAATAGACACCAAACTCGAGCTTTAAAATTGTGCGCACCCACAAAATAGCAAAAAAATACCAACCCTAAAATTGGCCATAGGCGACACTTTAAAAGCTTTTACCGCTCATCAGTTTAGTGTTATGAGTGATTGATGGCCTAAAATTATTGCTCTCACTGCGATGTTTGCGGCGATATATAACGTGTGGCGTAATCGTTGTTTTTGTACCTACGCACAACCAACGCATATTTATGTTTATAGGTGCGTGCACGCGGGAGACTTAAAACTTTTTTGGGTGTTTTTTTTTTATATGAGACTTTAATTTAAAAAAAAAAGGGGGAAGTGATGTAATAGACATCGCTTCCAACTTTATAGAGAGAAGGGGGAGAGTTCAGCGGTGGAGGAAATGTTGATCTCTCCTCTTTCTCTCTAGTAGCAGCCACTGTGCCGGTGTTCTTGATCCTGGGCACCGCAGGGTGCCCGGGATAACCGGTAGCAGCAACGGGGGGTGGCGCACAGTGTAAGGTTATCCAAGCTACAGAGCCGGTCGAATGCTTGTATGAAACAGTCAGTAGTTACATAGTTAGTCAGAAAAGCCTAAACAGAATGCTATGCCCACAATTACCCACTGTTGATCCAGAGGAAGGCAAAAAAAAACCCTTTAACCCCTTCGTGACTGACGACGTACAGTGTACGTCGCCAGCATCGGGGCTGTTTAAACAGACTCCCGGCGACTTTTGCCGCCGGGACTCTGTTTAAACTTGTAGAGCCGACTGTCGGCTTTACAACAGAAGCGATCCTGGCGACTTACCTGTCGCCAGATCGCTTCTGCAAATATACCTATAAAAACGAAATATCCAGTAATATTCTGTGCATTTAGGAATACAACCAGATTTTTTTAAAACAAATAACTGAGCTAGCTGGAACTAGCTCCTGTAAACAGTAACAGCTGTTTACCCTCCCGGCGGGACTCTGCTCGTGCCCGCCCAGTAGGGGGCGGACACGAGCAGAAAAAAAAATCACGTACATGTATGTCCACCTGCCAGGAAGGTCTGCCCGTATTTTTGCGATGGGAGGACAACGAGGGGTTAATATTGTTAATGTGATTCTTAAGCTGGCCATATACCTATAGAATTTATATAGATTGTTTTCTATTAGCGTATGGTCAGATGGAAAAAGTGCAACAAATTCCTCCATCTAGGCTAAACTGTGTGGATGAAGGAATCTCCCACTGGGCCAAGCTTCAGTATCTTCCCAGTCGGCCCAACTGGCTGTCAAAATACGTGAACAATCTCATTGGATGCAGGCATTGTTTAGGTATTTTGAGAGCCGGCGGGGCCGATTAGCAAGATACTGAAGCTTGGCCCAGTGGGAGATTCCTCCATCCACACTTTTTCCATCTGACCATAGGCTGATAGAAAAAAAATCTACAGAAAATCTATAGGTGTATGGTGGCTAAGGATGACTGTGGTATGAGGAAAAAAATTACCTGGAAGGGCAGCCTCCTCAGGATACACCTCTTTATTAGCTGACTGTACTTATTGCAACAGCACAGAACGTTATAAAGTAAATGTAATTGATTATTTTTTTTATTTATGGGTTTTTTCCTTTTCTTTTGAAAGTACATCTGTACTTTGATCATACTAAACATCTCAGATTAGCTTTTACAGTTCAAAAATAACCTTTAGGTCAGGGGTGGCAAACACAAGGCCGCGGGCCGAATCCGGCCCGCCGGACCTTGTAATGTGGCCCGCACAGCAGCCAGGGCCGGTCCGCTATGCCGACTCTGTGCAGAGCAGTGTCTACTGTGTGTTAGCGAGCAGAGCCGGCACTACCACACAGTACACTAGAGGGCGCTGGTGGGGGAGGCCAGAGAAACACCTCCTCCCCCAGCCCTCTCTACTCTGTGCTCTTTCCGGAGCTTGCTGGTGCTGTTCCTGCAGCCTGCACTGTCCCGGTACCGGCCGAGATATTAACATATGAATGGGCCGCGG